CACACACTCAGATTATGCCGAATGCTTGAATCACTTCTGTACCTTTGTGGTCATGTGCTTATGACGTTCGCCGGGTGTGCAAAAGGTCCCGGGTTGGAGTCCCAGTGGAGGTTGGGTTTTTTTTTTCTCTCTTTTTCAGATTCCTCTTCTGTTACATTTCAAATTATATTATTCATTGCATTATTCCTCTTGCTGTTTCTGGGTTTTTTCCCCACGCCTTTAAATCACTTTATATATACAAGATCCAGGAAGCTGAAAATAATGCAGAGAAGAGTTCGTATCCTGTAGATCGCTGACTAGTTTGACCACGTGCGGTATTAGTACCACACACCAAAACTGACGTCAGACACGTTAAATGAATGAAAAGAACTCAGATTCTACTGAACGCTTGAATCGCCACAGTGCCTTTGTGTATGGAGCGCGCTATAGCTCAGTGTTCGGTTCTTAAATTGCAGTTCGATTAATAACTTACTGTAGCAATTTTTTCTGGCCTGTGATTGGCCAAAATTTCAAAATCGGTAGTCTCAACTTCCACGTTATCACAGCGTAGAAATTCATGCATATGTAACGAAAATAGTATAAAAATGTGCGAGTTCAGGGAATATCCAATTACGGGTAAAATGTGAATTGTTTGTTTGAAACAGAGGGGGACCGGGGAGGGATTTTCACTGTTGGAGGGTGTAGGCCTTTTAAGAGAAAGAGAATTTTTATGATTATGACACGATGGTTTGAAATGGCGCACTCTCAGAATTAAAATTTGATTTTATTTTTATTGGAAAATTTAGAAAGGTCGAGCCGGCCGTCTCCGCCCCTTTTGGGGTGTAGGGGCTAAGAAATCCACTGGTTCTGATGGACTAATTTGAATGATTTCCTATAACCAAGTTATGGAAGAGGACTAATATACGTATGAGCTCAGAAAGCAGCCAGTGAATTCGTTCTTTTTGCCAGGAAATTTTGCGCCACGTTTTGCGGCGCAATATGTGCATGCCCTGTAAGCGCCCCTAATTGTTTACAGACCTACTTGGGCACGACACTATTATGTTTGCCTTTCTTCTCCTAGGAGTATCTTGGAGATGAATGAAATTGAAAAGCTGTACATGCATAACTATTACCCCAGACGAGAGAAAAAGAACTCATCTTATATTCGTTCAGGACCTTTTGGATTAAACTTGGAGTATTGCAGTTCCGAGGGCTTTATAGTATAACCAACCTCCAATATTACTGGCCTAACAATAGATTAGAAAGTATAATAGATGCTCCAAGTATTGAAATACACGCCATCGTATTTCAATACTTGGAGTATGTATTATACTTTCTTATCTGAGATTAATCAGTGGACCTTTCGGTTTTTTAACAATAGATTACTGGTTAAAATGTAAATATATATATATATTTTTTAATCACAGAGAATCACAAATGTTATATTCAGTGTACATTTTCGACTGTCATGGAAATATGGAATTTTTCAAATTTGGTTGGTAGAGTGTATGAGTCTCCCCGCCCACCCACTGGATAACAGGCCTGGAAAACTTTACTTTTAACTTGTTAATTAATACAGAATTATATGCTTATTTATTAGGTATCTTCTCAGATTTCCAGTATTGTGTTTAATTTTTTTCCCTCTTCCAACGCTGTTTGATTTGAAATTCACATACGATTCCTGTTGTTGCTTTGTTTTTTCAATACCTTATTCATTGGCAGTCTCTCGATGTTCGGTGGTGGTCATATTTGACTTTCTTATTAGATGTATGAAATCCAGTTTTTGAGTGTGTTCGTAAGTTTTAAGATCTATGTTTAAAATTAGGCTACCCTCTCCAGCAAAGACCTACTTGTTCTTAACATTCGTTAAAATAATAAAATACTAATTAATTAATCAATTAAAACGTAATATTTAAAATAAGAGGTATTCGCTTTACCATGATTTTGAAATATAAAAATATAATAAAAATTAATTATATGTGTCTTTTTAGTAAGGTTATAAGAATCAACGTACACATATCCTCCCTATGATTGATTCGTAACTAAATAATACATTGTGACAATCAAAATATAAAACGTTATTACAGTGTTGTGGAATAGCGCATACTATGCGTTTATACACCGCTTTTCCACCTCCCCCCACCCCAGTTTTTAAATATTCAAAAACCTGTTTCTCATTTACTGTTCCAGAGTTTTTTTGTCGAACACGCATTTTGTGTCTTTAAAAAATCAGTTGTACAACATATCAAAATTTGTTTTTCCTCCGGAGCCTGACTTTAAGGAAGCCATCTCTCCATACTGTATCGAATGCTTTACGAATGTCCAGGAAAGCTAAAGTGTCGTTTTAACCTTCTTTACGGCTACATGCGGAAATATTTATAGAGTGAAAATCTGATCTTTACATCTATATCCTGGTCTAAAGCCTCCTCCCAACTTCCGATAGGATATTTTACTATCAAGATTGTGAGAATTTTTTTTAACAATAACAGTTTTATTAACTTTTTTGATACGCATGAAGTGACAGAAATTCCTCTAAATTTTTTTATGTCTTTTCGATCCCTATTCCTAAAATTGGAAATATTATGCTCATATTCCATTCATCATTATTTTCGAACTGAATAAACTTATTAAACAAATTAAGTAGAGACTCATGCAAAACATCGCCACCATTCTCAAAAAGTTTCTTTGTGATACTGTCAATCCCTGCCTTATTATTTTTGGACAGTGACATTGCCTCTTTTACAATATCAATATTAATATCTATAATATCAATATATACAGTCATCTTTATCCAATGAGCATTCTTATTGAATATTTCCAACTTTTTAAGTTCAATTTTGAAAGAGCTGTTGTCATATTTATTTTATCTAATGATTCTTTTCGATAATTTTCTGTTTAATCAATGATTTTGATTATAGGCCTACATCTGATATGAAAGCCAGAGCTTATTTCTATCCTCGTGGACATTTTTTACACACTTTCTACGAAGTCTAGAAGCATTTTTTTCAATCCTTTAAAAAATAGGAAAACAAATTTGATATGTTGTTTGACGAAAAACTGGGGAACGGTGAATGAGATACAGATTTTTTAATATTTAAAAACTGGGGGAAAAAGGTGTAAAAATGGGCGGTTACGGAGCCTGATTACGGAGCATGACTTGAAAAACAAGTTCATGAGGCTATAACGGATTGAAAAAAAAACTTTAAAACCATGGTTCAGTGATGGCGCCAGGATCTGCC